TGGCATTTGGAGGTGCTTTAGAAGTTAAATCCTCTCACAGAATCGCCGACGACGTGGTATGCACGTCGTCATTCGATTGTCACAGAAAAAAGAACGATGTGCGAAAATATGATTCTGAAATTGGAATGGGCGGGACAATTCAATGCAAAATGTGTGCACTAGGTCCCAATAGTACAATGGGATAATTTTTTGAGGTTGTTAATCACATGCTGCGTCTATGCCTCAACGCCGAAGAGGTTGCATACAGTTGATAACTCATTAACAGCATGCCAGTGGGTAGAGGAGAGTTAGAGTAACCACGATTGCTAACAATTGGGCTGATGCGGTAAAGGTATATCAAATTTTAGTGCTGTTTTTCAAAACCTCAAAACCAGTTTTATTGGACACAGATATAATCTTACTTACGGATACGTTTTACCAAATTTTGAACTTTCATGGAGAGATTATAGCTAAATGGATAGCTTTGCGATATCAAGATATGCTTGAGTATGAAAATTTCAAACAATTTTGCTAGCTCCTAGTAGATGATGCTCAAGAAATTTCATTAACAGGCTTTTTCGGTGCCTCGTTATATTGCTATTCAACAAGGTGGATCACAGGTCCGATTTTTATTATCCAAGGTCGATCCCTCGCAGACAAATAACAATATGTATGCTTATGAAAGAGACGGAGAAGCACCAGGATTAATATTGACAATAAGGAAAATGGTTCGAATGACGTCTTGCTCTTCTGTAAAATATTCTGGAGTAATTACCTCCGGATCTCCGGATGGTGGTTATGAAGGAAAAAGCCATCGAAAGTAGCAACAAAACTGCGGTCGATTCGCCTTTAAGGTTAGCATCGTGGAACGTCAGGACAATGATAAGTGCAGGAAAACTGGAGAACCTCAAAAGGGAAATAGCCAGGTGCAGAGTGGACGTCGTGGGATTGAGCGAGGTGCCTCGTTATATTGCTACCAAACAAGGTGGATCGCTGGTCCGATTTTTATTATCCAATGTCAATCCTTCGCAGACAAATAACAATATGTATGCTTATGGAAGAGACGGAGAAGCACCAGTATTAACTAATATTGAGTAAGGAAAATGGTTCCAATGACGTCTTGCTCTTCTGTAAAATATTCTGGAGTAATTACTTCCGGATCTCCGGATGGTGGTTATGGAGGAAGTATCGAAAGTAGCAACAAAACTGCGGTCGATTTGCCTTTCAGTTTAGCATCGTGGAACGTCAGGACAATAATAAGGTCAGGAAAACTGGAGAACCTCAAAAGGGAAATAGCCAGGTGCAGAGCTGACGTCGTGAGACTGAGCGAGGTAAGGTGGCAAGGATAGGGTGAAACCGAATCGGACGGTTTCATAATGTATAACTCCGGAGGAGACAAATTTGAGAGAGGTAAAGTCATGGTAAAGAACAAGGTTGTGCTGGTGGTACATGCCGACATCGAGCCAGGACGAGGCGGAGGTGGAGCAAATCTACGAGCAAATAGACGAGATGTTGTCTCAGAAAGGCAAAATAAAGGTCAACGTGGTGATCATCAGAGGTTTTAATGCAATAGTCGGAAAGGGATCCGATTAAAAGATTGTTAGCAAATACGGATTAGGCAGAAGGAACGGCAAGGGAAATATGCTGATTGACTTCTGCCGCAGAAACAATTTCATGATCACAAACACGTGGTTTAAAAAGCCGCAGACAAAGCTGTATACTTGGAAAAAAGCCCGGCAAACAGCAAGCGATATCAAACTCACTACATCATCGCCAAAAACAGATTCAGAAATAACGTGAAAGACGTTAAGACTTTTCCAGAGACCGATATAGAGATAAAACTGAAAAATATCCGCAAAGCGGGTAAAAGGAGACAGAGATGGAATCTGGAAAATTTGAGGAGTCGAACTGAGGAGAGAAATGGAGACAAAATTCTACGTAATGGAAGATAGAGAAGATGCAATATAAAATTTTGGAATAAGGTAAAAAGTGTACGCTGGAGGACAACGTCGGAAAGCTAGAATAAGTAGCAAGGAGCCGTGGATAATTAGGAGATGATAAAGAAAATGGATTAGCACAGAAAGTATAAGATACACATCCGAAGATATGTAGAAAATTGAATAGTAAATTAAGGCGAGAAACGGATAAGGCAAAGTTGAAATACATGGACGAAGCGTGCAACAGGATAATAGAACATCAAAAACAAGATAGGTACGTTTTAATGTTTTATATTAAATCGTATACGACGCTACAAAGGAAATGTATTCGACTGAAAGGAAAGCAGAAAAACATACTAAATGGAAGACGATAGTGGAAATAGAGTAACTGACCAAAAAAAAATTCTCAAGAAAGGAAATTCTCAGGGTGTGGGAAAAATACATTGAGAAACAGTGCAATAGAGAAAATCGTTCTGATAATATTGAGATCGAATAAGAGAAAAAAGTGGGCGAAGACGATAAGATACCATGCATATTTAAAAGCGAAGTCGAGAGAGCAATAAATGATATGAGAAGAAATAAAGCAACGGGAGATGACGACATACCGGCGGACCTGCTGAAAGAGCTGGACAACAACGGATTAAAGAAACTGACCAAATTGTTGAACGATATATACCGAACGGGCAAATGGCCAAAGGACTTTCTGAATGTTACTATGATAGCTCCTTAGAAAAAGCCCGAAGCGAACAAGTGCAACGATCACAGGACGAGCAGTTAACTTTTTGGCTTTGCACACAGAAAAGGTACTGGCAAAAATCCATACTAGTAGATGACTGAAAAATAAGATCGAGCAGCACATGCGGATTGAGGATAATGTCGGACAACGAGAACATATGCTTCTGTTTTATAGATTAGCAGAAAGCTTTTGAGAGTCAACAGAAGTAAGCTTATGAGAATTTTAAAATCTAGTAACGTCGATCGGAGTGATTACAGTCTGATCCAGAATCTTATTTATATGGGGCAAAAAGTAAAGGTTCGGCAAGGATACTACTTGTTACCAATCCTATTCAATCTCTACGGAGAATGGCTCGTCAACGGGGCACTTAAAGGCGCAGGAGATTTTTCGAGGATTTTTGGAGGATGAAGAATCACCACCAAAAAGTACTCTGATGATCTGTCGAGCAAACTGAGTCTCGACTTGCTGAAGAGACTAATAAAGTGCTACGTCTGAAGTATAGTTCTGTATGGATCGGAGACATGGACTCTGAGAAAGGCTGACAAGAACTACATTGAGAGTTTTAAAATGAGGTGCTGAAGGCGAATGGAGAAGATGAAGTAGACAGACAAGATACAAATAGAGCAAGGATCCAATATATTTTAGAAGCCGCTAGTTGATTTTTGAATAATCTGAAAATTATGAAATATTTTAAAAATTTGAATTTTTTTCTGTATATGTTGAAATATTTTCAAAATTCTGAAACAGCAGTCAGTATGAACCAAATGCTTTTTCAATGATTGGTGTTGCTTGATCCATACTGTGTAAGATGTTAAGGGCATTTGTTTGAACCATGTAAATGAACTTGTAAGAAATAAAATTTATACTCATTAATCTCTATCTCTATCTATAAAATATCTGAAAATTTAATATGCATAAGTATGTCCTATTATCATTTTTAACTAATAAATGATATTTTTTACTCACAAACATACAAATAAACCAAAGGTATGGCAAAGTGTTCCCCTGGTTTGAAACATGCATGTTTCATGAAAATATAATAAAAAATTTATTATCGATTATTTCATGATTAATATAACTTACCCTATGCGAAGTTAGAAATATAGTCACCTTAGTCAGTAAAATGTAAAACATTTGTTTATTAGTATTTTGTTATAAGGGTAGTTTTAATACGTTATACATATATTTATAAAAACAAATTTCAAAAAAAAACTTTTATTCATCAAACAATCAAATTCTCTATGTTGAACAGCATTTGGTTAACATCATGAGCTCATGTCACACGGTTTATAATAGATATTCTTTATGTGCTTTGGTAAATTAATAATGCTAACTATAAATACATTGTTACATAACCATTTACTACTTACTTATAGATTTAAATTAATAATTATCAGTCCAAAGGAAATATTGCGATATGTCATTGCCATATCAGTCAACAATATTAACAAGTATGACTTAATCATACCAATCAAATATGATAAATTTATATAATGATCGGATATTTATAATCAAAATTAATGGCTTTATGGAAAGCTTATGAACGGTTTTATAAAATCTCGTTCTCAATGTGATTATAACAATTAAAACTACATATTTACTAGTGATTCCGCATGTATAATAATTCATTTATGTTCTATGACTTTTCATTCATAACATTCAAATATATCTATCACTTTCAAAGGAAATTAACTCATAATATATACATATTAGTACGGAAAACATCATTTAAATATTTTAATTCATAACATATAAAATAATTTGAACACCCTTTTTAAGTACAGCAGACAATCAACATTTACACGTCGTTTGGATTATGATTTTAATGAATACTGATGTCATGGGTTTTTAGATTAATTTCTATTCATTGTTTATAAAAAGTTATCTATTTAATAAAAAAGTTTATAAATGTATAGAGGCCTTATTCTACAGTTTGTTTTTATATTATATATCTGTTGTGAGATACTGATGCAAAACAGTTTGTCTCTTGTTTTTTATTTTTGACGGCAGTGCTAAAAATAATTATTTTACTTCAAATTACGGAGCTAGCGACGAAAGTATTTTTCTCTCACTCTACATATTGTTCATGTATTATTTCTTTTTTGAATAAATAAAAATATTCTATAAACAAATATAAATAAATGTAACATTTATACTATGCCATAGTTTTAAGAGTCGCTTGCTCTCATTTGATATTATGACGGTTTCGTATATTTTTTAAATCGTTATATGTTTTCTGCCACATTCTTTTTATTTTTTGTGTCTTCTCGACACTTGCAATCGACCGTACCATACGAACTTAGTAAAAACGGCGTAGGTACAAGTTCGATTTTTTTGTTAGGCAAAGGTCAGACCCAGTATTGACTCCTTTGTATCATTGAATTTGTCGTACGGTGTGGATATTCAATTTCGGAAATATCGTAAGTACTCCAGTCTTCTATGAGATCATCTCCATATGGGTACCTGATATTCATATCAATATCAGATCCTAACATTGAGTCCACTGGGCTCAAAGCGATCACTTTGCAGTGAGGGACATCGGAATGGCTTGGTAGAGGCATATCGTCATCTATCTGCAACGAATCCTCAGATGAAATATATCGTTTGACATGAGGGGAATGCGGCATTAGATGATCAGGTGGTCTAGGCAGTGGTATAGTTTGAGCGTCTTTATTCAGATCTTCTTTAATCGGTTCCATGTTACGGCATTTGATTACTGCTATAACGGCTATTCCTAGTACGACTACTCCTCCTACCATGCTTACTATTAAGAGATAGTCACTGCTCATGTTGGGACTGGCTACCTGCATGCCTCCTTCGTGACTTTCGGGGTCTCCTGGTCCTGGCAGCTCATTAATAGTGTTATGTACCATGAGTTTGATCTTAAGTTCTGCCACAGCGGGCTGGAAAATAGACGCCGCTACCGTAAATTTTAAATTATCCTCAAAGTGAATCGTATCTGTTGATTTCTTAGGAACGTAATATATTACACCGCTTAGTATTTCTTCATGTGTAAATTGGCCTACTTCGCGATCTCTTGTGTTTCTGTGCTCGCCGGTAGATCTAATTATTTTCTTCAATTTTCCGTAACGTGGTTTACGTATTATACGATATGTGGGATTGCTGCTTGTTAGTTTTGCTAGCGGTGTAGCATCCAAAGATCGCAAAGATATCCTGGTCTTGTCACCCATCAGAACAGCTAACGGACTGATCTGCATTAAAGGTTGAACTTCGACGTTCACTTCTATGTTTGTTATTTGTGCAATGGTCCCTATATATCCCATAACCTGTACAAAAACAAAAAGAAATAATAAGCATGGTACAATTCGGTGTATTTTCACAATAAATAATGTATATATGTTCTTCAAGTAACATTTAATTTACTGTGTTAATGAAGTTGAAGGCATTGTTTCTTACCTGAAAACTATCATTGGCTGTCGTCATATCAGTCTGCATATACATGACATTCGATGATTCAAGGTCTGATTGCGAAAAACTAAAAGCTCGTACATCTTTCACATACAAAACTCCATCCCTTGGAGAACGCGTCACATTGAAAAATATTCTGAAATATTATGACAAATCAAAAATGTTGTCGCTACTGTTTAATAAGATATCTGAGGTGAGACTTCTCGTTTACAGAGTATATGAATTTATTTTGCAAAAATTGAAATTAACTACACAAAAATTAATTTTGTTCATCAATATCAATTACCTATTCGGATTGGCATTGGTGTCAACAATGAACTGTTCCTTCCTCAACGATGCAACATTAGATCCTTGTTGCAAATATATTGGTTCGCCTGAAGTGATATTCAATTCGACCGGAAGAACATGTATATTGAAAACTGTGTACGCTGGTTTGAATTTGCCATCCCACACGCGGAAGTAGAATGTCGTCATCTGAGTAGTTCCGGAATGTTCGTAAATTATCCTTTCGTTGTTGATGTCGTCTTGAGAAAACTTATTGATGTTTATTGTTTCTTCGAAGGTATTGGTATCGTGATTTTTTTGTCTATAAATTAATCTGCCTTGCGTGGGACCGCTTATTATGTCGTACAAAAGTTCTTCAGGAGGAGTATCTAAATCTTCTGTTAGCAGGTCTTCAGAATTTAATGTTATATTTTCGCCCTGCACAACCGACACGTGCGGCGCTTGGGTTACCAATCGGAATGGCTGATCGTTTATAGGCGTAATCTTTATGGGAATGGTCACGTTGCAAAGAAGTATGTATCTAAAATAAAATAATATAAACATATATGAAAATTGCAATTAAAAAAATATTTGTTATATTGTTTTTAGAAAACAATTGAACAATTTATTTGTAATAAATATAAGGGGAATCGTAAAATTATAATTTTTTTTCAAAAATGTTCAAAAATTATAATTTTTTTTCAAAAATGTTCAATAAATGTAATATGTATATTTGTATATAACTTTTGGTACTTACTCCGGTAACAGATAGATCGCAAGTTTTATGAAATCTTCAACTGTGTCTGAGTGATCATGTTGATATTTTACTTGTCCTGAATCTAGTTCATTTTGACTATATATAGTGATATTAGGATCCTAGAAAAAAATAATTGCATTCCTTAGTTTTTAAGTTTAATTATTCAACAATGGCGTTTTATTATGCGTTCAGATGAATGTAATTAAAAAAATTAATAAACTTAAATAAAAAAAATAAAATAATACTGACCTGCATAAACGATATTACACCATGCTGAGGTTGCGATGCATGCGCGTGGACAATGGGCGACATAAGGCCTGCGTGGCTCTCTAAAAATTCAACAATGGAAGACAAATTAAATCGTACAACGGCTGTTCCACCCTCTGGCAAAAGTAATGGAGGTACTGATAAACATCTGTCCAAGCCGCCCGATGATACTGATATGTCTATAGATAAATGCTGAAAATAACAAAATGTTAAGTTTATTTGGAAAGGAAATTGTTTTTGATAAAATCGTTATTAAACACTGACCTCATTTGTAATCGTTTCAGCTAAATTTGAAGCAATGTCAAATATAATGGAATCATTAGCATTCATATCACTGAAAGGATGAGTATGCTCATAAAATATTCGACTCATATTAATATCGCCTGTGTAAAACTATGAGTTACTTGACTAAAAGAGCCGTCATCTGATTCCATAACCAATCTGCCGAGAGTGGGTCCGTATTTTACAATATATTTTATTTCCCTGCCATTATCAGTTGATATTGTCAACAAATGGTTAGGCGTGAGCGGCTTTTCAATAATGGAAATATGTGAAAATTATTTTTAGTAATTAGTTTCAACGTGACGGGATTTGTTGTTATGTAAAAACTTTGTTCGGGCGTCGAATGTATACCATCACTGACCGTGAAAAGGATTTTGCCGCTAGTATCGTTTGTATGCACGAATGAGATTTTGCCATTGATTATTTGATCTTGGGTGAAACTGAATATTGGTTCGTTAGGCGATCCAGAAAGAGCAACATGTCCGCCTCTTACCACTAAAACATTAAATGTCAAGTTTTCTGGCGGCGTGTCATTATCTTTTACATATAAATCATTTGCTCCAATTACTCCAATTCCTCCTTTCCACATATCAAGACCACTGTTTGTTAATATAGTTGGAGTCTCATCATTGATCGGTGTAACATGAATTTTCAAAGTGCTTGGAAGGCTTTCCCTATTGTCAACAATTGCTATTATTACAGCACTATCTTCTAAATTTTCACTACCGTTGTGTACATATACAACGGCATTTGCTTCTAACTGTTTATATGAAAACCTTGTTATTTTATCTTTGAGTTTACCAAAGGTTAGTATACCATAGGAAGGTTGTTTCTTAATCTTAAACTCTGTTACTTTACCCCTATAGTAGTCTGACAAAATTTGTAGATTATTTTTGGATAGAACTACCGATTTACCTTCTACAACATATAAATCGTCGGTTCCGAGGTATATATGTTCAGGTAGAATAACAACGTTGAGAGCTAAATTCGGCAATGTTGTGATGCCATTCGATATATTAAAAACTATTCTATCTGCTGTTTTATTAACTCCTGATTGAATATAATGCAATTTTCCAGCATTGATGACTGATTGATCAAATATTCTAGTATCTTGAATGTCTTCTTCACCCACCATAGTGTTTTTTTGCAATTCTAGATATCCATATTCTGGCATTTCAGTTATTATATACATTATATCAGATGCCGGTATTAATGGATGCAATACATCTAAATGCTGTTTAGTTATTACAGCACTTGTGGATTCTTCAACTAAAAGCGAATTGTTTGCTACAATTTGCAAGGGCTCCCAATAACTAGCCGGATACACTTTGATATAGTAGAAATTACCATCCATTGAAGTATTAAGTGCCGATAAGTGATATTTAAAATTGTCTCGACTAGTAGAATAGGTAGTACTTTCGTAGCATACGACGCCGTTGATTAAATCTTCTTGAGTAAAAGTGTTTGTCGTTATATTATTTACTTTGATGCTACCATGGTTTGGACCATCCACAACCTCGTAAACAATATCTTTATTTTTACAATTTATATTTGTTTCGATATCCAAGTCCTCACTGGATATTGTGATAGATTTTCCATTTTGAACTATTGACCCATTACTTATCAAATTTCTTATGAATGGTTCAGAAGCTTTAACTTCCAAAAAGCCATTAACGTCAAATTCACCATCATTTACCAAAAAGTTTATTTTGCCATTACTTTCACCTTCATGTTGAAATATAATTTTACCGCTATTTATATCTTGCTGAGTAAACTTGTATATGGGTTTAATCATATTATTCACGTTAAAAATGTTGCCAAAGGATATTTCTTCTCTGGTGTATATTATATTTTCCGGTTTGGTGTCTATATCAGCGTCAATGTAAAGCAAATCTTTTCGAGTAATTAATTTTGAACCATGATTAACAACGTGGAATATCTTATTGAAAGCTTGTTTAGGACTATTATCGTTATTCAGATTTACATTTATGCGAAACGCTCCAACATACTGAAAATCATGCTTTTCATCCGAGAGTGCCATAAAATGAAAACTATCATTTTTACTTTCAGAGTCATCATGAACATAGAATACTTCATTATCATTTAACTCTTGTGAGGTAAAAAACTTTATATTACTTCTTAATTTCTTATCCTTCATGACAATTTGTAAAACCCCGTGCTTTGGTCCTATACTTATGTTATAAGTCAAATCTTTTATACCAGTCGCATCAAAATTGAAATGCGACTTTGTAATTCCGACGCGAGCACCTTCATCAACTTTCAACGATGTGAGTATTATTGTTTCATTAGTAATTGACGGAGAACAATTTATTGTCAATGATCCATAACGATCTTCACATTCCGCTATTGATACTTTGTAGAAAAATTCATCTAGTATTGGCGAGTGGGCAGTTCGATATAATACATATTTCACACGGTCTTGGTCCAAATCTTGTTGGGTGAAAACACCGTTAACCTGTAATTGTATGCTCAAAATAAAATTTATTTACTATTTACCATTTTAATAAATTTTATATTAAGTGGGTATTCTAGTCTAGAAGATTTAAGAAAAAATTTTTTTTGATATTTTCGAACTTTAACTAGTTTTAGGGGAAAGTCCCGTAACGCCGGACGGCACATAGCGCCCGGACACTCTATTTAACATGTATTATTTAAGCGAGTATAGATCTTTTTATTTCAAAATACAAGTGAAAGGGGCGCGGGGGGCACACAGGTGCAGGATAACGCGCAAAGCCTCACCTGTGACGCACACGACCACGGCGAGGGCAACACTGCTGTTTTAGGCGCAAAATCACGGTCGTCACCTAAATATCAATGGAAGTAATTCTAGTATATTTATGCATTTACATTTAGGTGGTATCAAATATAAAAGTAGCACTTGAATGTTATCCGTAAAATGGTAGAATATTATTGGATCTTTTAAACAATTTCAGTAGGTACCACCAAATGAACGAAAATGTCTGTACCTTAGCACCAGACACTAAGTCGTCCTTAGTCCGGACAGTAAATATATTGATATTTCTTGTGAGAATTTACGTTATTTAATTCTAATTATTTAATTTTGGTCTGTATGAGTGCGTCACTACCCCCCTTTTTCGTATTTCCTAGTCAAAGAATGAAAAGTTATGATGTATGCACCAGCTGAGAGCATCGGTGTGGCCTAGCCAAAAGGTGGGTGAATTGTGACTTTTTTTGCAATATCTAAAAA